ATTTCTACCTCGGTAAACCCTAAACCCTAAACCCTAAACCCTAAACCCTAGCGGGGCAGGCGCAGGGGCCGGAAAGCTCCCGACGCGCTTTGAAACGCCGACTTCACGCCCGCCACAAACCCCAAACCCTAAACCTAAACCCTAAACCCTAAACCCTAAACCCTAAACCCTAAACCCTAATTGCCTTTGTGAATTCAGGGCTCTCCTGCATACCCCTGGTATGGCTCAGTGCTCTCTGCTACATCACTGGTAAGTCTCCAAACCCTAAACCCTAAACCCTAAACCCTAAACCCCGAAAATTTGAACACAGAGCCTCCAGACTTTGTCCTGGATTGAGGGTTTAGAATGCTGGGGTTTGGGGCTCCGAACACTGGGCCTTGGGCCTCAGGCCCTAGGGTCTAGGGTTTAGGGTTTAGGGTTTAGGGTTTAGGGTTTAGGGTTTGGGTGTGCTGCAGCGCCGCTGTTGCTGGGGGCCGGCGTCGTGACGATCGTCTTCCGGCGGAGGCAAATAGTAAGGAGATAAATAAATAATTAAATTAATTATTTTAATTAATTTAATTTAATTAATTAATTAATTAAATTAAATTAATTAATTAATTAAATTATTTAATTAATTAAATGATAAATAAATAATAATGAAGTCATTGGTCCCAATGCGAAAAAGAAAAAGTTTTCTGCGCTTTGCGCCGCAGCCTCCTGAAGGAGAAATCCTCCCCAGCTTCTAACCCTAAACCCTAAACCCTAAACCCTAAACCCTAAACCCTAAACCCTCGTGCAGAGCTTGTGGGCTTCGGGGTTTACTGAGGGACGAATCTAGCTCGGGGGGCCCCCGCGTCTAGTACCCTTTCTTCGGGGGGGGCCCCCAGGGCCCCCCCCGGGGGGCCCCCCGGGGGGACCCCTGGGGGGACCCCAGGGGGGCCCCCAGGGGGGCCCCCAGGGGGGCCCCCAGGGGGGCCCCCCGGCCTGTACCCTCCGTAGCAAACAGGAAGGGACAAAGGAGGCAGCAGGGGGGGCCCCAAGTAGTTTGGAGACAATGGGAAGTCAGCCCTGAGGAAGGACAGGCAATTTTATTTTGTTTGAATGTTAAATACTTTTTGGCGAGGGTTTAGGGTTTAGGGTTTAGGGTTTGGAGCCCGCGCGCAGCAGGCACACGAATCGCTGGCTGGCGAGTCCTGGACTGATGGCTAGCTGCTCTTGGCTAGCTAGCTGCTCTTGGCTAGCTAGCTGTTTCTTGCTGGCTAGCTGCTCTTGGCTAGCTAGCTGCTTCTCGCTGGCTAGCTACTCTTGGCTAGCTAGCTGCTTCTTGCTGGCTAGCGGCTTCAAGCTGCCCTGGTAGCAGGCTAGCTAGCTAGCTAGCTAGCTAGCTAGCTAGGTGACACTCTGTCCAGCAAATTAGCTAGCTAGCTAGCTAGCTAGCTGGATACCTGGATAGCCACCTGGCCAACCAGCCAGCTAGCCAGCTGGCTAATTATATAGCTAGCTAGCTAGCTGGCCAGCCGGTTAGCTAGCTGGCTAGCTGGCTAGCTAGCTAGCTAGCTAACTAGCTGGCTAGCTAGCTAGCTGGGGGCTGGGGGCTCACCAGGTGAACTTGGCTTGCAAAAAGTGTTGTTCGGAAATTTGCAAAATGTGGAGAAGTTGTCGAATTAAATATTTAGTGAAGAGAGAAAGTCGAGGGTCTGCAAAGGAGAGAGAACCCGCGTAGACATTTCTGCAAAAGAAAGAAAAAGACAGGCAAAAAGAGAGACTTTTCGCGCTTTCGTCGAACCCCTAAACCCTAAACCCTAAACCCTAAACCCTAATGTCCTTGCTAGGGGGACTCAGCGAGAAAACCGGCGAAAAAAGAGGCATTTTCGCTTTTTTTGCACTAACCGCACAAACCCTAAACCCTAAACCCTAAACCCTAAACCCTAAACGCGTTGCTGAGAAGACGCCGAACGGAGGCAAAGCCAAAATAATGTTTCTTTCTTTTTGGGGTTTACTGGGAGCCTCTAAACCCTAAACCCTAGACTTCAAACCCTGAAGCTCCAGTTCCAAACCCTAAACCCTAAATCCTAAACCCTAAACCCTCAAACTCACCCCCAAAGAGCCTCCTTTATTCGGGCCGGGCAAATTTCGCCCTCCGCCATCGCCTGGTCCAGAGAGACCATGAGCTGTGCACAAAACCCTAAACCCTAAACCCTAAACCCTAAACCCTAAACCCTAACCCCTATGCCGCAAACCCCTGTACTGCTTGCAGCTTTGCTGCATCTGTCTAGCCAGTCCAGCGGCAGGTGAGCCTCGCCTTAGGGTTTAGGGTTTAGGGTTTAGGGTTTAGGGTTTAGGGTTGACGCACACCAAAGGCATATGACTGGCAGTTTTTGAGTTCCGCCTGGAGCTGAAACTCGCCCACCTGAAATTAAAAAAAAACGCACTCCAAAATTAGGGTTTAGGGTTTAGGGTTTAGGGTTTAGGGTTTAGGGTTTGAGGCGTACCCTCCAGACGTGCGCAGCCCTACACACGCCCAAGCCCCGTTCACAAAAACCCAGACCCCAAATCCCTAGGCCGAACCCCCAAACCCTAAACCCTAAACCCTAAACCCTAAACCCTAAACCCTAACCAGGCCAACTAGGATTTACCTTCTTCAGTTTCAGCCAGTCTCTAACCAACTCCCAAGATTGTTTAAATAAAAACTCATTTATTATTTCCCCAGCCACTTCAGCCCTCAAAGCCGAAACCCTAATTGCCAAACCCAAACCCTCAGCCAAACTGGGGGGGCCCCCCAGGGGGGCCCCCGGGGGGGCCCCCTGAGACGTTACGGGGGCCCCCAGAGGGGCCCCCCCATGGGTAGGCTGCATGGGGGAAAAGGAAGCAGAGGCGGAGGCAGCCGCGTCATCTGCTGCTGCTGCTGCTGCTGCTGCTGCTGGTTTTGCTGCTGCTGCTGCTGCTGCTGGTATTGCTGCTGCTGCTGCTGCAGCAGACACTTGTTTAGGGTTTAGGGTTTGGGGCTGCGCGTACTGGGCCATGCGGTGTACGTACACCCCACGGCTCAAAACCGCCTTGAAATCCTCAGGGGCAACTGGGGTGACTTTGGGGGGCAGCAAAGACTCCAGCCAGGCCTTAACTTTGCTGCTGCTGCTGCTGCTGCTGCTGCTGCTGCTGCTGCTGCTGCTGCTGAGTAGGGGGTTTTGAAAGAACTCGGCCTTGCGACTTTTGCTGCTCTGCATCAGCCGGCAGTGCAGCAGCCACAAGTGAATAACTAACAAATAAAAAGGACCATTAAAGCCCCCCGGAATGCCAAAAGCTGCAGCAAACACACAGCAGCAGCAGCAGCAGCAGCAGCAGCTGCAGCAGCAGCAGCTGCAGCAGCAGCAGCTGCTGCAGCAGCAGCAGAAGCAGCACTGCAGCTGCAGCAGCAGCAGTGTTGACGCGAGGTCCTTATGGGCTGCAGTGGCTTTGTAGGACGAGGCGGCGGAAAAGCAAGAGCACAGACATGCGGCAAGGGTTTAGGGTTTAGGGTTTAGGGTTTAGGGTTTGGCCACTTTTTTTAAGCTCTTCGTTTTCAACGCGCTCTAGAATAAGATGCAGCATTTGCCACGCGATTTGCGGGTACTCCTGGTGCCGCCTGCAGAAACAAACCCTAAACCCTAAACCCTAAACCCCAAACCCTAAACCCTAAACCCTAAACCCTAAACCCTGATCCCAAGGCGCTCTGTCCTGAAGGCCCCAAAGCCCGTGCGCTCCCTCCGCCGCAGCCCCTAAACCCTAAACCCTAGACCCTAGACCCCCACCCCCAAACCCTAAACCCTAAACCCTAAACCATAAACCCTAAACCCTAAACCCTAAACCCTAAACCCTAAACCCTACGTGAAGACCCTGTAGAGTGCGCGCTGGAGGGGGGCCCTCATGTGGGCCTGCAGGGGCAGTTCTCTTTTGGCGGTTTGTCTCGGAGTTATGAGCCACAAGGGTTTATCTTTTAAAATTAATTGACTTTCTTTTTGAAAAGCAGCAAACTCTTCGAGGCTTAGCTGCCGGAAGTACTGCGCACAAACCCTAAACCCTAAACCCTAAACCCTAAACCCTCGACGCGGATTCGCACGGGCTCAAAACCGCCGAAAACGCCTCCACCGTTCTGCACATACCACCTTTTAGGGTTTAGGGTTTAGGGTTTAGGGTTTGGGCGCTGCAGGCCCCGCAAGCAGCTGCCCGCAGCGCCTCTAGCCTGCCCACAAACACTAGGGTTTAGGGTTTAGGGTTTAGGGTTTAGGGTTTAGGCTCGTACAACAGGGTCTGTTGTTTTCTTGTTCTTCCGCCGCACAAGCTCATCCGGATGAATATTTTTATAAACCCTTTTCAGAAAACCCTCAACAGCTTTGCTGCTTTCCAGGGCCTCCCTGGAGGCCTCGGGGGGCCCCCCGGGGGGCCCCCCGGGGGGCCCCCCTGCAGCCAGGGGGGCCCCCCCAGCCATTTTGTGCTGCCGGGGGGCCCCCAGCTTTGGGCCTGAAAGCCCCAGGCGCTCTTTTAGGGCCCCCAAGGCAGCAGCAAGGGCCCCCAGCTGCCGCTGCTGCAGCAGCTGGGGGCCCCCAGGGGGCCCCCGGGGGCCCCCCGGGGGGCCCCCAGGGGGGCCCCCCAGGGGGCCCCGGGGATTCCATAGACTGATTTGAGGGGAAGGCGGGGGGGTAGGACTCTGCGCATTCTGCGCTTGAGTTCGTAGGACTAGAGAACCATCAAAAATTAGGGTTTAGGGTTTAGGGTTTAGGGTTTAGGGTTTAGGGGTTTGGGTTTTGAAAGAGGGCCGGGGTTTAGGGTGTTTGAGTTTTCCCCGGCTGGGGAGCCGCTCAACCAAAAATAGATAAGAAGACTAAAAAGAACAAGGAAGACCGAGGGTTTAGGGTTTAGGGTTTAGGGTTTAGGGTTTAGGGTTTAGGGCTTGGACGAAGGGCCCCAGGGTTTGGCCTGGACCCCTAGGGGGCCCTCGCCGCTGCTTTCTGGTTCGGTGTAGGGTTTAGGGTTTAGGGTTTAGGGTTTAGGGTTTAGAGTTTGTGTATCTATTCCGAGTGTAACTTTGCAATTTGATTGTGCGTGTTGAAAGCAGTGTTGGTTGGCGGTGTGCGTATTGAGGGTTTAGGGTTTAGGGTTTAGGGTTTAGGGTTTGTGTTGGGGCGTGCGCGGCGGTTTCTGGGCGAACTGGGGCGGTTTCTGGGTTTTTTTGGGTCGAAATTGCGGGAATTTTGCAAATATTTCCTCAAAAAGAAGAAATAAATGCAAAAAGAAGAAGTTTGACGGCAAAAGTGTTGCGAACGGCGATGTCGACGACGCACCCCGAAGTCACCGAGACCGAGTGGGACGCGCTGCAGCGCCGCTTCGGCAACCTGCCGCCGCTGCAGCAGCAGCAGCAAACTGAAGAAGCAAAAACACAAACCCTAATCCAAACCCTCGAGGGTTTAAACCCTCTCGAGTCCAAAACCCTTTCGCAACTAAACCACCTCGAAGACGACCTCGAGGAAAACACCCTCGAGTTCTACCGCCGCAAACGCCTCGACGAGCTCAAGCGCCAGCAACGCAGAAACAGGCAAGTGCTGCAGCAGCAGCAGCAGCAGCAGCAGCAAGTGCAGCAGCAGCAGCAGCAGCAGCAACTGCAGCAGCAGCGGCAACTGCAGCAGTAGCTGCTTCAGCGGCAGCAACTGCGGCAGCAGCTGCTTCAGCGGCAGCAACTGCGGCAGCAGCTGTTTCACCAGCAGCAACTGCAGCAGCAACTGCAGCAGCAGATGCAGCAACGCTAGCAGCAGCTGCTTGACCGGCAGCAGCAGCAACTGCAGCAGCAGCTGCTTCGCCAGCAGCAGCAGAAGCAGCAGCTGCAGCAGCAGATGCAGCAGCAGCAGTTGCGACAGCGGCCGCAGCACACCAGCAGCAGGAGCTGCTCAAGCAACCCTGGCAGCAGCAGCAGCAGCAGCAGCAGCAGAACTGACAGCAGCAGCAGCAGTGCAGTCACTTGCAACTGCAGAAGCAGCAGCAGCAGCAACAGCAGCAGCGGAATCCCGTGCAAATGCAGCAGCAGCAAAAGCTAAGCCACCTGCAACTGCAGCAGCGGAACTACTTGCAACTGCTGCAGCAGCAGCAGCAGCAGCAGCAGCAGCAGCTTTGATACGGCGGAATGCTTTCAAGGGGCAGCAGCGCCTCGTGCTGCTGCTGCAGCAGCGCCTCGTGCTGCTGCTGCAGCAGCGCCTCGTGCTGCTGCTGCAGCAGCAGCAATTTGAATTATTTATTTATTTATTTATTTATTTATTTATTTATTATTATTATTATTAATTAATTAATTAATTAATTAATTTATTTATTATTTGCTGCAGGTTCGGGCAGCTGCTGGAGCTGCAGCCGGGGGAATATGTGCGGGAGGTGACTGAGGCCTCAGCAGAAGACCCCGACGCAGCAGCAGCAGCAGCAGCGCCGCAGCAGCAGCAGCAGCAGCAGCAGCAGCAGCAGCAGCAGCAGCAGCAGGTGGGGGGCACGTGGGTGGTGGTTTTGGTCTACGAGGAGGGCGTGGCTGGCTGCGAGCTGCTGCGTGCTGCTTTTGCTGCTGCTGCAGTGCAGCACAAAGAAGTGAAGTTCATAAAAGCCAGCAGCAAATTAATTTCCCCACACTTCCCCAGCAGCAAAACTGCCCCTCGTGCTGCTCTACTTCGCGGGCTGCTGCAGCAAACAGCTGCAGGGGCTGCAGCACTGGGGGGGGGCTGCTGTTTCTGCTGCTGCAGTCGACCGCGCGCTCCGTAAACCCTAAACCCTAAACCCTAAACCCTAAACCCTAGTAAACCCTAAACCCGCGGGGGGCTGCGCGCCTGCGCAGCAGCAGGCGCGGCGCTGCGGCGAGTGCGGAGCCCTCCGGGACCCTAAACCCTCGACAAACCCTAAACCCTCGCGGAACCCTAAACCCTAGCCAAACCCTAAACCCTCGCCAAACCCTAATTCGTGGTTTGCGACACAGGCCGCTACGGAGTGCTGCGCAGCAAACCCGAAGAAACCTCCAGCGAAGACTCCGAAGAAGAAGCAAAAGAAAGAGTCCGCAGCAAGGGTTATTCTTCCACAACCCTCGACAGGCTCCTCAGCCGCAAACGCTAAACCCTAAACCCTAAACCCTAAACCCTAAACCCTAACCCTAAACCCTAAACCCTAGGGGGGCAGGGCGCTTCGGCGCGGGCGGCGCCCGCCTGGCGACGCCGCCCGCGGCCCCGAACCGCAAACCCTCGCGCCCGCCGGCGGGTTTAGGGTTTAGGGTTTAGGGTTTAGGGTTTAGGGTTTGCGTTTTCTGGCGCTTTTTGCCTGCTGCTGCTGGCGCGAAGCCGCGAGACTCTCCGGGGCCCAGAAGAGCTGCTGCTGCTGCTGCTTCAGCTCGGAGTGGGGAAATCGAATATAAATTAAATTCGAAAAGATTTGCTGCTGCTGCTGCTCTTTGCTGCTGAGGCTCTGCAGCAGCTGCTGCCGGTAAACCCTGTGAAAAGCCAGAGCTTCCGGGAACTGCTGCTGCGCGTACGCGCTCCAGTCTTCTTCTGCTGCTGCTGCTGCTGCTGCTGCTGCTGCTGCTGCTGCTGCTGGCGCTGCTGCTGCTGCTGCTGCTGGCGCTGCTGCTGCGCTGCTGCTGCTGCTCTGCACGGCCTCGGCGTGCAGGTCTGCGGGCAGCGCCTGCAGCGCGCGAAAGGCAGCAGCAGCAGCAGCAGCTTCGCGACGCAGAAAGGGCATTTCGAAGCGCTGCACACACAAGCAGCAGCTAGCTCAGCAGCTAGCTGAGTGGCTAGCTGTGGCTAGCTGAGTGGCTAGCTGAGTGGCTGGCTGAGTGGCTAGCTGAGTGGCTAGCTGAGTGGCTAGCTGTGGCTAGCTGAGTGGCTAGCTGTAGCTAGCTGAGTGGCTAGCTGAGTGGCTGGCTGAGTGGCTAGCTGAGTGGCTGGCTGAGTGGCTAGCTGAGTGGCTAGCTGAGTGGCTAGCTGAGTGGCTAGCTGTAGCTAGCTGAGTGGCTAGCTGAGTGGCTAGCTGTAGCTAGCTGAGTGGCTAACTGAGTGGCTAGCTGAGTGGCTAGCTGAGTGGCAGCTAGCTACTCAGCTAGCTGCACACCTGAGTAGCTAGCTGCACAGCTAGCTGTGCAGTCTAGCTACTCAGCTAGCAGCACACATGGCACAGCTAGCTACTCAGCTAGCTGCACAGCTAGCTGCACAGCTAGCTGCACAGCTAGCTGCTCAGCTAGCTGCTCAGATGGCCCAGCTGGCTGCCCAGCTAGCTGCCCCAATAGCCTAGCTAGCTGCCTAGCTAGCTGCCCGATAGCCCAGCTAGCTGTCCAGCTAGCTGCCCAGGTAGCGGGGTATTGGTTGCCCAGCTAGCTAGCCAGATACCTAGCCAGATAGCTAGCCAGCTAGCCAGCCAGCTGTCCAGTTCGCTAGCCGGCTAGCTAGCCAGCTAGCTAGACACCTAGCTAGCCGCAGAGCTAGCCAGCTTGCAACCTAGCGGCAGCTAGCTAGCCAAACAGCCCTACACCTAGCTAGCTAGCCATGGAGCTAGCCAGCCACGCAGCTAGCTAGCTAGCTAGCTAGCTAGCTAGCCACGCAGCTATCTGACCCCCCATCTAGCTAGCTGGCTAGCTAGCTAGCTAGCTAGCTGGCCCTCTAGCTAGCTAGCTGGCCCTCTAGCTAGCTAGCTGCCCCTCTAGCTAGCTAGCTAGCTAGCTAGCTAGCTAGCTGGTTTTGTACCGCTTTCTGGAGCTGAAAGAGCTCGAGGGCTTGTTGGAATCTGCTGCGATCTTCGAGAGAATCTGCGGAGTGTTTTGGAGAGAAAATGAAATCCAAAAGACTTTTTAATTTGCTGCTGCTGCGCAAAAAAGAAAGAGTTTCCCCCACGAGGCTTTCCGGCAGCTGCGGCCGGTACCGCCGCGGCGCTGCAGCAGCAGCGGCGGTCCTGCAGCAGCAGCAGCAGCAGCAGCAGCAGCAGCAGCAGCAGCAGCAGCAGAAGGAGAAGGAGGTGCAGCGAGGGTTTGGGGGGGAGGATGCGCGGGAAGGACTTATGGGGGGGAGCGGGGTTGGGGACTGAGGGACAAGTGAGGGTTTAGGGTTTAGGGTTTAGGGTTTAGGGTTTAGGGTTTAGGGTTTGGGGTTTGGGGTTTGGCGCACGAGGAAGCTTTCTTGACTTGCGGCGTCGCCTTCTTCTTCGGGGGAGGGGGGCCCCTACTGGGGGGCCCCCTGGGGGCCCCCCTTCTGCCCAAACTGAACAAAAAAGGGTACATTAAGTGAACCCTTTGATTCTCTTCCAATTTCTTTGCTCCTTGGGGGCCCCAGGAGGCCCTTCAGCACCCCCAGGGGCCCCCAAACCCTAATTTCAAAACAATAAATCCAAAATTAATTCCAAAATATTCAAATGCCCTCCAAATTTATTCTTTTGGCACTTCAGGGGGCCCCAGGGGCCCCCAGGGGCCCCCATGGACGCCCGGGGGCCCCCGGGGGGCCCCAGGGGGCCCACGGGGGGCCCCAGGGGGCCCCCGGGGGGCCCCCCGGGGGCCCCCAGGGGGGCCCTTTACCTTAATAAGATAAGTAATGGGTTAAATGGGTAGCATAAAAGAGTTCATGGAGATATTTTTGGGGTTTAGGGTTTAGGGTTTAGGGTTTAGGGTTTAGGGTTTTGTGTGTAGGCTTCTTTTCTAAGAAGGTCACAAAAGCGAATAGAAGGCTGGAACCCTTTAGTGATATCTTCTGCACACTCCATGCAAACCCTAAACCCTAAACCCTAAAGCGTAAACCCTAAACCCTAAACCCTAAACCCTAAACCCTAAACCCTAAACCCTAAACCCTAAACCCTAAACCCGCAAACCCTAAACCCTAAACCCTAAACCCTAAACCCTAAACCCTAAACCCTAAACCCTAAGCTGACCACTGCCCTAAACCCTAAACCCTAAACCCTAAACCCTAAACCCTAAACCCTAAACCCTAAACCCTAAACCCTAAAACAAAACCCTAAACCCTAAACCCTAAACCCTAAACCCTAAACCCTAAACCCTAAACCCTAAACCCTAAACCGCAAACCCTAAACCCTAAACCCTAAACCCTAAACCCTAAACCCTAAACCCTAAACCCTAAGCTGACCACTGCGCCACCAAGGCTTATCCCTGGCCAGTAAGGTCCAAGTTGCTCCTATATTTTGTTTTCTGTTCAAGAGCCTGGCCGTCGAGGGTTTAGGGTTTAGGGTTTAGGGTTTAGGGTTTGGGGCAGCGGCAACAACTGTGCTTGAGAGTTAGGGTTTAGCAAAGGTTTAGGGTTTGCTGCTGCTGCTGCACACTAAAGTAATGTACAGTTCGCCCTAAACCCTAAACCCTAAACCCTAAACCCTAAACCCCAGGCCTGCGCAGCCCGTGAATTCCCTTGCGGGCCAAAGTCCTATTTAACCTTTAGGGTTTAGGGTTTAGGGTTTAGGGTTTACGAGAGGGCTGCTGTCGTTCTTAAAAAGGGTTGAAGGCGCCACTTGGCTGCCTCTGTAAACCCTAAACCCTAAAAGGGCGAATAAACTCTAAACCCTCAGCACTGGGGCCCAAACCCTAGGCCTTCACAGAGGGTTGTTCAGGAGTAAACCCTAAACCCTCGAGCCTCAAACCCTAAACCCTCGAGCCTCAAACCCTAAACCCTCGTTCCGAAACCCTAAACCCTAGCGCGAGCTGGCTGCACTTCACTCCCAGCTCTTGAGCAAAACGGCATCGAAGCCTGCTGCTGCTGCTGCTGCTGCTGCTGCTTCTGCAGCAGCAGCCGGCGAGGCCCCTGCTGCTGCTGCTGCAGCAGCAGCAGCAGCAGCAGCAGGAACTGGACTAAAAGACACAGACAAACGGTCATAAAAAAGATATGCTGCAACATTTTGCGGCAGCAGCAAAGAAGGTGCGGAGCGCCGCCGGCAAATCTGCAATCGCAAACCCTAAACCCTAAACCCTAAACCCTAAACCCTAAACCGCAAACCCTCAGCCACAAACCCTAAACCCTAAACCCTAAACACCAACAGCGGGGGCAACACGACGGAAACCCCGCTTCAAGGCCAGCAGCTGCAGCAGCAGCAGCAGCAGCAGCAGCAGCAGCAAGGCAGCAGCAGCTGCAGCAGCTGCAGCAGCTGCAGCAGCAAGGCAGCAGCTGCTGCAGCAGCTGCAGCAGCAGCAACAACAACAGGCCTAACCAAAACCGCAACAACAGAAGCAAAACGAGCAGCAGCAGCAGCAGCAGCAGCAGCAGATGCTTACGAGGGCATATGTCTCTCCACAGAGTCCGTAGATGCCGCCTAGAGCCCAGTTTGTTGCTGCTGCTAGCTGCTGCTGCTTGCTGCTGCTGCTGCTGCTGCTGCTGCTGCTGCTGCTGCTGCTTGCTGCTGCTGCGCGCCTCTTGCTGTCTCCTTTTGTCCCCTCCTGCCGCAGCAGCAGCGCCAAAGCGAAGCGCCGCAGCAGCTTCCACTCTTTTCCAAAAGCAGCAAACACTTCTTCTCGCTGCCGAGCGCCTGCAGCAGCAGCAGCAGCAGCAGCAGCAGCAGCAGCAGCAGTGGAAACAGCAGCAGCAGCGGCAGCAACAGCGGCGGCGGCAGTGGCAGCAGCAGTGGTAGCGGCGGCAGAAGCAGCAGCAGCAGCCGCAGGGACAGCAGCAGCAGCAGCAGCAGCAGCAGCAGCAGCAGCAGCAGCAGCAGCAGCAGCAGCAGCAGCAGAAAAGGGAAAATCAGCAAAAAGGAAACGGCAATAAAAGATAAAAAGAATAAATTTGAATAAAAGCAAAAAAGAATTTAAAAAAATAATTAAATGATTAAAGAAATTAAAAAGGAAAAGGCAGCAGCAAAAAAAAATAAATAAATAAATGGCAGCAGCAAACAAACAGAAATAAAATTTAAAAAAAATTTAAAATCAAAAAAGTCAAAAAGAAATAAATTGAAAATAAAGCATAATGAGGAATTGTGAAATAAATAAATAAATAAATAAATAAATAAATAAATAAATAAATAAATAACCTAATTAATTAATTAATTAATTAATTAATTAATTAATTAATTAATTAATTAATTAATTAATTAATTAATCAGTTAATTAACTTAGATAAATTAAATAATAAGTTAAATAAACAGAATAAATTAAATAATTAAACAAATTAAATAAATTAAATATTTAAATAGATTAAATTAATTAAATAATTCAATAATTCAATAAGAAAACAATTAAACAATTAAATAATAAAGTAATTAAATAGATTAAATAAATAATTAAATAATTGAATAATTAAATAATTAAATAAATTAAACAAACTAATCAAATTAAATATTAAATAATTAAACAATTAAATAATTAAATAATTAAATTAAAATCTTTTTAAATTTAATTTAAAATAAAAACCCACTTAAATAAACTGCCCACTGCAGCGCGTGCTGCACTGCAGCAGAATTGCTGCAGCAGGGGGCCCCCTGGGGGCCCCCCGGAGACCCTGGGGGGCCCCCCCATCTGTACCCTGGTTCGGGGACTGTTTCCAGCACTATTCTGCTGCTGCTGCTGCTGCCGCTGCTGCTGCTGCTGCCGCTGCTGCTGCTGCTGCTGCTGCTGCTGCTGAATATCCGCATTGTCTTCAAACGCCCCTCAGATGACTCTTCAGAGGGGCCCCTCAGGGGGGCCCCCAAGGCCAGGGCCCCCAGGTCCCCAGGGGGCCCCCCTGAGGGGCCCTCGAGAGGGGGGCCCCCAAGGGGGCCCCCCAGGGGCCCCCCTTGGGGGCCAGCGGCTTCACCAGGGGGGCCCCCCTGGGGGCCCCCCTGGGGGCCCCCAGGGGCCCCTTTTGAACCCTCAGGGCTGCAAGAGGAGACGGAGGCATCTGCTGCAGTCTCTTGCTGCTCCTTTTCGTGTGGCTGCTGCTGCTGCTGCTGCTGCTGCTGCTGCTGCTGCTGCTGCTGCTGCTGCTGGGTAGAGGGTGGGTCCTGGGGCGGGCCAGCCTCAAGGGGCCCCCTGGGGGCCCCTTCTAGGGGCCCCTCTGCAGGCAGCAAGTGGGGGGCCCTTGGCCGGTAAATGCGAGGGAGGCCCCCCTGCTGAGAGGGTTCTCTGAGTCTTTCAGGGGCCCTCGAGGGCCCCCAGGGGCCCCCCGGGGGGCCCCCCCAGGGGCCCCCCCAGGGGGCCCCCCAGGGGCCCCTGGGGGGCCCCTCCGGGGGGCCCCCAGGAGAGGCCCCCCGGGGGGCCCCCTGGAGGGCCTCGGGGGCCCCAAGTGCTGTGGGGCCCCTGCTGGGCCCCAGGGGGCCCCAAGCCGGGGGCCCCTGGGGGCCCCTCCTGGTGGGTACCTGCAGGGGTACCGTTTGGGGGGCCCCCCCTGGGGGGGGCCCCCCAAGGGCGGCGGGGGGGGCCCCCGGGGGGCCCCTCGGGCTGCTGCTGAGGCCCTCCTGCAGCAAGTTGCTGCTGCTGCTTCTGCTGCTCCTGCTGCGCAAAAAGAGAGACAGTTCTGCTGCTAAAGTCTCTTCAGAGGCCTCACTAAAACTTTTCTTCAAACGCAAACCCAAACCCTCGGGGGCCCCCTCGCTGCGCTCCCCAGGGGGCCCCCCACAGGGGCCCCCTGGGGGCCCCCCACAGGGGCCCCCGGGGGGCCCCCCACAGGGGCCCCCTGGGGGCCCCCCACAGGGGCCCCCGGGGGGCCCCCCGCAGGGGCCCCCGGGGGGGGCCCCATAGAGGCTTTCGGAGGGGCCCCCATCGGGGGCTGCTCCACAGGGGGCCCCACAAGGGGCCCCGCAGGGGCCCCCACAGGGGGTCTCACAGGGGCCCCCGCAGGGGCCCCCACAGGGGGCCCCACAGGGGGCCCCACAGGGGCCCCCAGGGGGGCCCCCACAGGGGCCCCCACAGGGGGCCCCACAGGGGCCCCCAGAAGAGGCCTTGCGGGGGCCCTCTGGGGGACTGGCCAAGCAAATAGAGAGGGTAGGGTCTTTGTTGGGGGCCCCTGTTGGTTTGCTGCTGTCTGCATGCGGCGGCCTGCTGCTGCAGCAGCAGCAGCTGCTGCTGCTGCTGCTGCTGCTGCTAGAAGAAGAGCGAAAAGACTTTTCTCGCAGCCACATGGGGGGCCCCTCTGGGGGGTCTTCAGGAAGTCCTTTTGCTGCGAGCACTCTAGGGCTGCTGCTGCGCGAAAGGGGCTTCTGCTGCTGCTGCTGCTGCTGCTGCTGCTGCTGCTGCTGCTGCTGACGAGGGGCTTTGTGGGTCTTGCGGATCTCTGAGGTATTTTCTGCAGACAAGGAGACACTGGAGGAGCGGCTAGGGGCCCCTTGTCTCCTGCGCTCTGCTGCTGCTGCTGCTGCTGCTGCTGCTGCAGGCTGGCGGTGGCAGCTGCTGCTGCAGCAGCAGCAGCAGCAACAGCAGCAGCAACCACCGCTGCGGCGGCAGGAGGCCCTCGGATGCAGCACTTCTCTGCTGCCACATACTGCAGCAAAAGTGTCCATCCCACACTGGGGGGCCCCCCCACATTGGGGGCCCCCAGTCCCCTTTTGCTGCTGCTGCTGCTGCTGCTGCTGCTGCTGCTGCTGCTGCTCTCTGTCTAAGTAGGCCTCGTTAGACTGCTGCTGTTCTCTCTGCCAAGTGGAGTGTTGCTGTTGCTGCTGCTGTTGCTGCTGCTGTTGCTGCTGCTGTTGCTGCTGCTGTGGCTGCTGCTGTTCGTGCTCTTGTGTTACCAGGTATTGCTGCTGCTGCTGCTGCTGCTGTTCTAGGAGGCGCTGCTGCTGTTGCGTCTGTTGTTGTTGCTGCTGTTGTTGTTGCTGTTGCTGTTGTTGCTGCTGCTGTTTTACTAGCTGCTGCTGCTGCTGCTGTTCTTGCTGCTGGCGCACAAGGTACTGCTGCCACTGCTGCAGCTGTTGCTGCAGTTGCTGCTGCTGCTGCTGCAGTTGCTGCTGCTGCAGTTGCTGCTGCTGCTGCAGTTGCTGCTGCTGCAGTTGCTGCTGCTGCTGCAGCAGCTGCTGCTGCTGCTGCTGCTGCTGAGGCCCTGTGGGAGCGTAGCCCCACTGGCTCGGGGGGCCCCACAGCAGGGGGCCCCCCAGGGGGGCCCCCCCTCTGCTGCTGCTTCTAGGGTTTGCTGCTCCAGCAGACACAGACCGCAGCTGCTGCCTTCGGTGCAGCAGCAAGGGGGGCCCCCGCTGCAGCAGCAGCGGGGGGCCCCCCTCTGCTGGGGGGCCCCCGCGGGCTGGGGGGCCCCACACTGCAGCAGACTTGTAGCCACAGTGTGGGGTTTGGGGGCCCCCAGGGGGCCCCCAGGATTTGCTGCTGCAGCAGCGGGGAGACGATCCCCAGTTGCAGCGCCCCACACGATCCCCGGGATCGCCTGGATCCGCAGCAGCACAAGCAAGGGTTTAGGGTTTAGGGTTTAGGGTTTAGGGTTTAGGGTTTAGGGTTTAGGGGTAGAACTTTGCATCGGACAGGGAAGCCGCTTTCAGCCCGTTTTTCGCTCTACCCAAATCCCAGGCTCCAAACCCTAAACCCCAAACCCTAAACCCTAAACCCTAAACCCTAAACCCTAGCGCTGGCTGCGTAGCTCCTCGCCTGCATTATCTCCCCCGGGGGGCCCCCACCGGGGCCCCCAGTACCCTCGGGGATCCTTTTTGCTGCTGTGGGATCGTCGTCTCCAGACCCCACACATTTTGCTGCTCTCTGTGGGGCTGCAGCGGCTGAGGGGCCTCGGGGGGCCCCTAGACCCTAAAAGCATCAGCCAGAGAAACTGCTGCTGCTGCTGCTGCTGCTGCTGCTGCTGCTGCTGCTGCTGCTGCTGCTGCTGGTAGGGCCTGCGGTTCCAAAGCCCTAGAGCTTAAACTCGCGGTTGTAGGGTTTAGGGTTTAGGGTTTAGGGTTTAGGGTTTAGGGTTTAGGGTTTAGGGTTTAGAGGTTACATCTTTGCTGCCTCTCGCTCTCCAAAACAGACCGGGTACCATCTGGCAGCAGCGGCCTTGTGGGGCCCCACACTTTCCCTTGGGGGCCCCTAAAGGGGCCCCTTGGGGGGCCCCCCGAGGGGCCCCCAAAGGGGCCCTCAGGGGGGCCCCCCTGGGGGCCCTCCGGGGGCCCCCCAAAGGGGCCCCCAAATGGGTCTTCAGAGAGGCCCCCTAGGGGGCCCCCAGAAACAGCTCCATAGGGGGCCCCCCTGGGGGCCCCCGGGGGGCCCCCAGGGGGGCCCCCGGGGGGGCCCCTCTGTAATTTGTGAGGAGGCAGCAGAGGGCCTCTGCTGCTCCTCCAACTAGCTGCAGGTCTTGTGCCATTGAAGGGCTGTGGACGTCTTCCTGATTCTGAAAACCCAAACCCTAAACCCTAAACCCTAAACCCTAAACCCTAAACCCTAAACCGTAGGTGCAGAGGCGAAGCGACGCAGCAGCAGATATGCTGCTGGCGCCTCCAAAGGCATTTTCGAAGCTGGACGCCACAGCTAAGCAGTGCTTCCCTTGCACTAGGGTTTAGGGTTTAGGGTTTAGGGTTTAGGGTTTAGGGTTTAGGACCTCAGCAAAACTGTCAGGAGTCTTGTTTTCCTTCGGAGTCCCCAACTGTCTCCGAACTATACTGGCGAGTTCAGCAAGAGCCCTTAAGGGGAAGCCTTCATTTTGTGTCTCATTTGAGGGTTTAGGGTTTGAGGGTTTAGGGTTTGAGGGTTTAGGGTTTGAGGGTTTAGGGTTTGGGGATTCAGGGCTTGAGGGTTTAGGGTTTAGAGCAGGAGACTCGGAGCCGCTGCTGCTCTCCTCTTGCGGAAATGAATTCAGCTCATCCCCCACATTGGAGGGCCTACGCATACCAGCCCTAAACCCTAAACCCTAAACCCTAAACCCTAAACCCTAAATCCTAAACCCTAAACCCTAAATTTCAGCTTTTAGACCCAAGCAGCCCTGGCAGCAACGCGGAGATAAACAGCTGCAGGTCAGGGTTTGGGGTTTAGGGTTTGTGTTTAAAAAATTAGCTTTGGGGTTAGACTTTATGGCTAGGGTTTAGGGTTTAGGGTTTAGGGTTTAGGGTTTGAGATACTGTCTGAATCCCCGAAGAGAAGCAGTGAGGCCCTCAGTGATCCCCCGCACGATTGCCGCGTAATCAGCTGTGACAGAAAACCCTAAACCCTAAACCCTAAACCCTAAACCCTAATTTCGAGACTAAGGTCCTGAATATGATTCAGCTTCAAGGCTGCACCTTTTGTGGAAGCCTGTTAAAACCCTCATTTGCGACTGCACTGTGCAAAGACGGCAAAGGGTTTAGGGTTTAGGGTTTAGGGTTTAGGGTTTAGGGTTTAGACGCACCGAAGGACATTTCAGCGTCATGAAGAGGCATAGTGGGGTTAAGAAGTCTCTCTGTGAAGGAACAGACCTAACACACTTGCGCAATAAGGGTTTAGGGTTTAGGGTTTAGGGTTTAGGGTTTAGGGTTTAGGGTTTAGGGGGGTTTAGGGTTTAGGGTTTAGCTCGCCAAGGGTGTTGCTCCTTGTTCTTGAGGGACTTGCTGCTGGGGCTGCTGCTGCAGTGGGCTTTTCTTCTTTGCTGCAGCAGCAGCAGCAGCAGCAGCAGCAGCTTTGGGGATCGATACTGGAGACGATCCCAGAGTTTGAGGGCAGCAGGGACCTGTTGCTGCTTCTCTTGCTGCTGCTGCTGCTGCTGCTCCTGTAGCTGAGGGTGTTGGTTGCTCTGGTGCTGCAGCTGCTGCTGCTGAGCCGCTTCCTGCTGCTGCTGCAGCAGCAGCTGCTGCTGCTGCTGTTCCGGTGCTCATTCCTCACTAGAAATCTGCTGCTGCTGCTGCTGCTGCTGCTGCTGCTGCTGGCGGCGAAGCCCCTGCTGCCGCCGCTGCTGTTGGCGTTGGTGCTGCGCAGGCTGCTGCTGCTGCTGCTGTTGCTGCTGCTGCTGCTGCTGCTGCACTCCAGTTGAGTAGCAGCAGAAGAGCAGGGCCCCGTGCTGCAGCTTGTCTCTGCTGCTGAAGGCTGAGCAGCAAAAACAAAAAAGCTTTTTTTCTTTTAATTAGGGTTTTGAGAGCAGCAGCAAAAGCAAACCCTAAAACAGTGTTTACTCAGGTGTACAGACACCTCACCCCCAGGGTCTCAGTGCTCGTTGAGCTCATAAGGGGCCCCCAGGGGCCCCCTCGCCTGCTGCTGCTGCTGCTGTTGCTGCTGCTGCTGCTGCTGCTGTCTCCCGTGCTGCAGTGCCCCTGAGAGTGCGCTGCTGCTGCGGCCCTGCGAAAGCTGCTGCTGCTGCTGCCGCTGCTGCTGCTGCTGCTGCTGCTGCTGCGGGACAGCCTGGGACTCGTGGGATCGGCGGGATCGATTGTGTGGGGTTTTAATTCTTCTGCTGCAGTGTTGCTGCTGTTGCTGCTGTTGCTGCAGCTCCCCCGCAAGTTGCTGCAGTCGCTTTGCTGCAGCACTAGAGCTTCGCAGCAAGGCGTCCAGTCTGCTGCTGCCCCTTCCGTGTCTGCTGCTGCTGCAGCTGCTGCAGCTGCTGCTTCTGCTGCAGCGGCGGGGCCCCCAGCTTCCTCGCTAGCTAGCCGGCTAGCCAACTGGCTAGCCAGCTGGCTAGCTGGGTGGCTAGCTAGCTGGCTAGCTGGGTGGCTAGCTAGCTGGCTAGCTGGGTGGCTAGCTGGCAGGCTAGCTGGGCAGCTAGCTGGCTGGCTAGCTAGCTGGCTAGCTACGTGGCTAGCTGGGTGGCTAGCCAGCTGGCTAGCCAGCTGGCTAGCTGGCTGGCTAGCTGGGTGGCTAGCTAGCTGGCTAGCTAGCTGGCTAGCTAGCTGGCTAGCTGCTGAAGGAAAAGAAGAAACTGAGAAGTGCTGCTGCATGAGGGGCCCCACATCTTCCTTTTCTGTGGGAGGGTCTTCTTCGTCGGAGTGCTGCATAGCAAAAGTTGGAAGGGCCTCCTCCCCATCCTGCTGCTGCTGCTGCTGCTGCTGCTGCTGCTGCTGCTGCTGCTGCTGCTGCTGCTGCTGCGGCTGGTCGAGGAAGCTGCTGTGGAAGGCAGCGGAATCCAGCGAGGAGGAACTCCGCCGGCAAGGGACTGATATGTCAAAGCTGCTGCTGCTGCTGCTGCTGCTGCTGCTGCTGCTGCCTCGCTTGATGCCTGCAGCAACAACCCAGCAGCAGCAGCAGCAGCACAAGCACGCCAGTAGCAGCAAAGCAGCAGCAAAGGCACAGCAGCAGCAGCAGCGCGGGCACAGAGTAGGTGACAGCAGCAAGCTGCTGCAGCGCTGCAACTGCAGCAGCAACAGCAGCAGCAACAGCAGCAGCAGCAGCAGCAGCAGCAACAACAGCAGCAGCAGCAGCAGCAACAGCAGCAGCGGCAGCAGCCGCAGCAACAGCAAGTGGTCAAACACAACCCAAGCTGACTCGTCAAAAGAGAAGACAAAGACCCTCTTCTGCTGCTCAAGGGAGACTCTCTCCTTTGCTGCTGCTGCTGCTGCTGCTGCTGCTGCTGCTGCTGCTGCTGCTGCTGCCTCCCTGCTACAAGTTCCCAGATGCGGCAGCTAGCTGGACGGCCGCACACTGCGCATGCAGCAGACCCAGAAAGGGGGCCCCCAAGGGGGCCCCCCTGGGGGCCCCCCTGGGGGCCCCCGGAGGGGCCCCCCGAAAAGCAGGTACAGCGCTCGCTGGGGGGCCCCCCTGGGGGCCCCCCTGGGGGCCCCCCAGGGGGCCCCCCAGGGGCAGTTGGGGCCAAAAGAAGTCCTGAAAGACGAGAAGTGTCTCTTTGAAACCCTTTAAGAGACAAGAGAGAAGGAGACCCTGAAAGGGTCCCAGAAAGAGCTCCCGAGGGGCCCCCGGGGCCCCCCGGCAGGGGCCCCCAGAGGGGGGGCCCCCCCCGAGGGCCCCTTGGGGGGCCCCTGGGGAGCTGGAAAAGGGTACAGCTGCTAAAGATGAGGGCAGGGGGAGGGGGAAAGAAGCGGGGGCCCCCTCGGAAGAAAACTGTTTGCTGAAAGCTTCTGCTGCTGCAGCACAAGTGCAGGGGGCCCCCGGGGGCCCCTGGGGGTCTGGAAAGAGAGAAGAAGAGCAGCAGCAGGGAACAGCAGCAGAAGCAGCAGAAGCAGCAGAAGGTTCCATGGGGCCTCGAGCTGGGGTGTACGTACACTGTACACGCAGGCGCAGAAGCAGCAGCAAGGCCAGCTGTCCGTACACCCGAACGCAGGCAAAAAGAAGCAAAAAGAAAACAGCAGAAAAAGGCTTTAGGGGCCCCCGGGGGCCCCCGAGGCTGAGAAGAGCCTTGGGGCGGCTGGGAGTGGCTGCGGCGGCGGCGAGGGCTGGACTGCGCTTGTTTTTCTGAAATTCAAAGAAAAGAAAAGAAATTAAATTAAATTAAATTAAATTAAATTAAATTAAATTGGAAAAAAGACTTTCGCCGCTTCAACCGCCGCCGAAATGCTGCAGATACACCCCGCGCGCGCCCCACGATGGTCCGTCCCGCACCCGAGGGTCACCGCGGGGCTTCGGGCTTTAAATCTTTGAAATTAAACACTTTTATTCATTTAAAAGCTTTTAATTTTCATTTTAATCGAAAAAACATTTAAAATGAACCTCTGGAGGCAGATCTGCATGCAGATGCCTCGGGGTCACCGTGGGGTGTACGTACACCTCAACTGCCGCGAGAGCGGCTGCGCCTTCTGCGCTTCTCAACCCTCAAAAGAAATCCAATTTGTTTTTTTTAAAAGAATAAATCTTTTATTTTCAAAATTAATTTGATTTGTACCAATATCTGGAAAAAATGCTTCAATTTCACCTCGATTGCTAGCGATGTCCGAAACCGTAAACCCTAAACCCTAAACCCTAAACCCTAAACCCTAAACCCTAATCACCCAGCTCTATAATCCGGATTTCCGTGTCCAAATCCCAATTCAAACACTTTGGAATTTAGGGCAAAAACCCCAACCCTCCCCTTCTGTTTCCGTGGCTGGGCCTGGCTAAACCCTAAACCCTAAACCCTAAACCCCAAACCCTAAATGCAAGCCCTATGCCCCAAATGCTAAACCCTACACGCTAAACCCCAAGCCTTGAAAGCAAACCCTAAACCCTAAATGCTAAACCCTAAACCCTAAATGCAAACCCTAAAACCTAAACCCTAAATGCAAACCCTAAACCCTAAACCCTAAACCCTGGGACTGGAAGATGCAGGAAGCAAAAGAAGACAAAGCAGCAGCAGCAGCAGCAGCAGCAAGTTCGAGATGGTTTAGTTCAGGTGTACATACACCTGGTGAGTTCAGGTGTACGTACACCTCAAATCGAACACACATTTGACTAACAAATAAAACAACAGAAACAAGCCGGCACAAAGCCTGCAGCAGAGCCTCGTGTCTGCTGCTGCTGCTGCTGCTGCTGCTGCCGCTGCTGCTGCTGCTGCTGCTGTTGCTGCTGCTGCTGCGGCCAATACTGTCGCCGCTGCCGCTGCTGCTGCTGCTGCTAAAATTGCACAAAAGAAAACAGCAGCACTTGAGATGGGCCAGAACACGACTGCAGCTTTGCAGCACGGCTTCAAAATAAGCTGCTGTTGCTGCTGCTGCTGCTGCTGCTGCTGCTGCTGCTGCTGCTGCTGCTGCTGCCCTTGCTGGCAGATAGACCCAGGGCCCCTGAACCTGCAGTGGGCCTGGCTGCAGCAGTTACTGCTGCTGCATTTGCTGCTGCTGTGTTGGGCGCTGGCGACTGAATTCGCTGGAGTGGCAGCAGCAGAAGCTGCTGCTGCTGCAGCGACTGCTGCTGCTGCTGCTGCTGCTGCTGCTGCTGCTGCTGCTGCTCACTATACTCCAAAATAATTGTTGGCCTCTTCCACTCAAAGAAACACAAGAAGAATCAATACAATGAATTGCCTGTCTAACACATGATGCAGCCCCTTGCTGCTGCTGCTGCTGCTGCTGCTGCTGCTGCTGCGGCTGCTGCGTCGGCTGCTGCTGCTGCTGCTGCTGCTACATCTAGTGGCAGCGACTCGCTGCTGCTGCTGCTGCATTTGGCCCTAGCTGCTGCTATAGCTGCTGTTATTTCTTGCTGCCTTGTTTCGTCAAGGCCCGCGCAGCAGCAAGAGTTCCTGCTGCTGCTGCTGCTGCTGCTGCTCGTACTGCGTCTCTTGCTGCTGCAGCGGCTGTCGTTTTTGCTGCCGCTGCTGCTTCTTTTGCTGCTGCTGCACTTTCTACTACTCGTGCTGCTTTTGTTTCTGCTCCTGCCTTTTTGTCTGCTGCTCCATCTGCTGCTGCTGCTGCTGTTTCTGCTGCTGCTCTATCTGTCGCCTCTTTTGCTGCTCCCCCATCTGCTGCTGCTGCTGCTGCTGCATCTGTTGCTGCTGCTGTTTCTGCTGCTGCATTTCTTTTCTCCATTGCTGCTGATGCGTGAGCATCTGCTGCTGCTGCATCTGCGTTTGGTGCTGCGTTTCCACTTGCTGCTGCTGCTGCGTCTCCGCTTGCTGCTGCTGCTGCGTCTCCGCTTGCTGCTGCTGCTGCTGCTGCTGCTGCTGCTGCATCTGCTGCAGCAGCAGGAGTCTCTCCAAATTGAGTGTTTATAAAATCGGCAATTTGCTGAATGCATTCCGAGGCAGATGGCTCCTCCATAAACCCGAAACACGGGAACTGAGACACAAACCCTAAACCCTAAACCCTAAACCCTAAACCCTAAACCCTAAACCCTAAACCCTAAACCCTAGCCGTGAACTGCGAATGGCAGCAGGCTGTCAACTGTCAGCGCCCAACTCAAGCGCTTTGCTACCCCCGACAAAAACCCTCAGTCCTCTCCACAAACCCTAAACCCTAAACCCTAAACCCTAAACCCTAAACCCTAAACCCTAAACCCTAAACCCTCGGAGAAGCAGCAAACGCACCACGTGGAACTCGTCCTTCCAGACAGTGACGGAGGCCCTTTGGAGTTGCTGCTGCTCTGCTGCTGCTGCTGCTGCTTCCACTTTCCCGCTGCTGTTGAGCTGCTGCAGCTGCTCTGCGTCCATCCAGCCCAGGGCTTCTGAGAAGCCAGCAGCAGCAGCAGCAGCAGCAGCAGCAGCAGCAGCAGCAGGCCGCATGTGCTGCAGCAAATCGTCCGGCAAACTCTCAGCTGAAAAGTAAGACAGCAGCTCTCTTGGGGTGTGGGGCCCCCCCTCGGAAACGGGGCTTCCGGGGGCCCCCTTTGCTGCTTCTCCTCCGGGCCCTTTTGCTGCTGCTGCTGCTGCTGCTGCTGCTGCTGCTGCTGCAGCAGGGCTGGGGAGGCTGCAGCTGCCGTCGACGCCTATGTCCGGCACGGGAGTGGAGCGCTGACAGCTTTTGCTGCTGCTGCTGCTGCTGCTGCTGCTGCTGCTGCTGTCGCCGTTGCTGCTGCTGCTGGTGCTGCTGCCGCCGTTGCTGCTGCCGCTGCTGCTGCTGTCGCCGTTGCTGCTGCTGTTGCTGCTGGCGGCATTGTTGCTGCTGCTGCTGCTGCGCTGAAGCTCGTCGCAGCTGCCGCCTTGTCTGCTGCTGCTGCTGGTGCTGCTGGTGCGTCTGCTGTTGCTGCTGCTGCTCTCCCCGCAGCCCTCCGCGCCCCCCCCGCCGCCGCTGCTGCTGCTGCTGCTGCTGCTGCTGCTGCTGCTGCTGCTGCTGCTGCTGCTGCTGCTGCTGCTGCTGATGACTGGCTATGGGCACTGTCAGCGGCAGCAGCCGCTCAAAACCCTCGAAGTTGTCGGGGGTTTTAAAAGCTGCATTTATTCTTCTCGCCAACACCAAAGAGTCACTCAGCAGCACCTGAAAATTAATTAAATAATTCAAATTAAATAATTTAAATTAAATTAAATTAAATTAATTAAATAATTTAAAATAAATTAAATAATTTAAAATAAATAATTTAAAATAAATTAAATAATTTAAAATAAATTAAATAATTTGAAATAAATGAATTGATTTTAAATAAATGAATTGATTTTAAATAAATTAAATAAGTTTAAATAAATTCGGTAATTTAAAATTAATTTATTTTAAATAAATTAATTTAAAAAAAATTTGAATAAATTAATTTTAAATAAATAAGTTTAAATAAATTAAATAACTTTTAATGAATTAAAGTGGTTTTAATTTAAAATAATTTCAATCAAAAAGAATTTATATTTAAAATTAGTTTAAATTAAAAATTGTTTGAATTGAAAAATGATCTAAAGTGAATATTAAAAAGCAATAATAATAGTAAGGAATTAAAATAATTAAAATTAATTAAAATAATTAAAAAGAATTAAAATAATTAAAATAATTAAAAAGAATTAAAATAATTAAAAAGAATTAAAATAATTAAAATAATTAAAATAATTAAAAAGAATTAAAATAATTAAAAAGAATTAAAATAATTAAAATAAATTAAAAAAAAATAAGGTCTAAAAAAGAAAGAGGGAATTAAGGGGAAAATGAAAAAGGGGAATAAAAATAAAAGACAGGTTAAAAACCCTAAACCCTAAACCCTAAACCCTAATTGTAAACCCTAAATAATGGCTACGCTTGTCAACTAGCCCCGGCAAATCCCAGTTAGGGTTTGAGGGCCTTCCCAGCTGCCCCGCAGAAGCCGCTGCATCTGGGGCCTAGGGTTTAGGGTTTAGGGTTTAGGGTTTAGGGTTTAGGGTTTAGGGTTTAGGCACTTCTGTCGATCCTGCGTGAATGCAAACTGGAGGAAAAGCTCGAAGGACTGCAGGGTCGCTGAGAAAGGCGGGGGACACCCAGGGGTCTCTGAAGGGGGTCTTGTCCTGCATGCGCAAACCCTAAACCCTAAACCCTAAACCCTAAACCCTAAACCCTAAACCCTAAACCCCAGGTCCAAACCCGCAATCCAGCACCAGTCGCGCAACAGGCAGCACAAGCTGCAGAGCCCCCCGCCGCAGGAAACTCTCGTACTGCCTCCCAAGACCCTGGCTTAGTAGGGTTTAGGGTTTAGGGTTTAGGGTTTAGGGTTTAGGGTTTGCGTACGAGGGCGCCTTCTTTGAAGTCCGAGCCAAAAGCACTTTTGCCGAAACGGTAAAGAGCAGCAGCACGTTCGATTGAGATGAGAGGCAGCACGGGCTCTTGGGCCCTGTTGAGCTGCGGACAAGCAAGGGTTTAGGGTTTAGGGTTTAGGGTTTAGGGTTTAGGGTTTAGGGTTTGGGGTTTAGGGTTTGGGAAAGGGTTTAGAGCTGCTTAGGCAGCGTCTAGGGTTTGCGGCGCCTCTTCTGCGGAGTCTGTGGTTAGCAGCAGAGGGCGTGGGGCGGCGAGCTGAGACTCCGAGGGTTTAGGGTTTAGGGTTTAGGGTTTAGGGTTTAGGGTTTACGCGGTAAGAAGGCCCGCTCTGGCTGAGGTCCAGCCAGGGCGACAGCAGCACAACAGCCCGCGGCAGCCCCACAGCAGCAGCAGCTTCTTCAGCAGCAAGACTTTCATTATGTTTGATAATGGACATCAGCAAAGTCACTGCCAAGTTGCCCCCCGCGCTGTCCCCTGCAGCAGCAGCAGCAGCAGCAGCAGCAGCAGCAGCAGCAGCAGCAGCAGCAGCGGCGGCGGCGGTGGCGGTGGCGCGAGGAGCACGTGCGTGCAGGAACAGCAGCGGCAGCAGCACAAGAAACGAACAAATGCAGCAGCAGCAGCAGCAGCAGCAGCAGCAGCAGCAGCAGCAGCAGCACAAGAACCACATATATGCAGTAACAGCAGCAGCACCAGAAGCACACAAATACAGCAACAGCAGCAGCAGCAGAAACACATACATGCAATACCACCAGCAGCAGCAGAAGTACATACATACAAAAGCAGCAGCAGCAGCAGCAGCAGCAGCAGCAGAAGCACATACGTACAAAAGCAGCAGCAGCAGCAGCAGCAGCAGCAGAAGCACATACATACAAAAACAGCACCACCAGCAGCAGCAGCAGCAAACGCACATGCATACAAGAACAGCAGCAGCAGCAGCAGCAAACGCACGTGCACACAAAAACAGCAGCAGCAGCAGCAGCAGCGGCAGCAGCAGCAGCAGCAGCAGCAGCAGCAGCAGCAGCAGCAGCAGCAGCGCACCCATGAGGACGAGGCGCTGGGGGTCGAGCGCCTTTTCGCGCAGCAGGTGTCTGTACACCTCAAACACCTCCAAGATCTGACTCGGCCAAATACTCTCCGGGGCCAAATTGTATTTGGGGGCCACAACGCGGGCCCCAGTGAGGCGGCCCAGTTCTGCGCAAACCCTAAACCCTAAACCCTAAACCCTAAACCCTAAACCCTAAACCCTAGGCCCCGCGCCGCGGGGGGGCGGCCGCGGGGGCGCCCCGCCAAACGCGGCGGCCGCAACCCTCATATCAAGTGAACTGCCACAAACCCTAAACCCTAAACCCTAAACCCTAATGTGGCGACACCCACAAACCCTAAACCCTAAACCCTAAACCCTCGACACACAGCTGCTCTCGCGACATGTCGTGCCTGGCCAGGACTTGCGCCAGTGTTAAAACCGCGGACTACGCTTTAGGCTCCAGGGTTTAGGGTTTAGGGTTTAGGGTTTAGGGTTTAGGGTTTAGGACCATTGAAAAAGATGCGGTAGAAATCTGGACTTTGAGAAATAAAGGCCCCTCCATGCAAATAAAACACAACTCGCTCTTCTCCATTTTCTCCTCGCAGCAGCTTATCAGGGTTTGGGGGCCCCTCCTCGGGGCCCCCCGGGGGGCCCCCGGGGGGCCCCCCCGGGGGGCCCCCCTCACTGGGGGCCCCCTGGGGGCCCCCCTCGCAGTAGCTCCCCTCCTCGAGGCCCGCGTCCTCGGGGCCCCCCGGGGGCCCCCCCCCGCAGGGGCCCCCCAGGGGCCCCTCCTGGGGGCCCCCCAGGTCGAGGGCCCCCCGGGGTTGGGGGCCCCCCTCGCCGGGGGCCCCCTGGGGGCCCCCCTGGGGGCCCCCCTGGGGGCCCCCCTGGGGGCCCCCCTGGGGGCCCCCCGGGTCGGGGCCCCCCTGAGTGCCCTGGGGAGAGGCGCGGGCGGGGGCCCCCGGGGGGCCCCCCGGGGGCCCCCCAGGGGCCCCCCGGGGGCTGCGGGGGCCCCCGTTGGAGGGGCTGGTTGGGGTTTGAGGGTTTAGGGTTTTGGAGTCTGTTTCGGAGTCTGGAGAAGGGTTTGTGCCGGCCTTGACAATCAAATTGACTTGTTTTAAAAGCAGCAAACGAAGGCGCCAAAGATCCCCGAAAGAAAGGGTACTGAGGGGCCCCCCGGGGGCCCCCCCGGGGGCCCCCCGGGGCGTGGCGTAGAGGTGCAGGGGCGTGGGGGCCCCCGCGCGCAGCAGCAGCAGCGCCTGCTGCTGCTGCTGCAGCAAACCCAGCTGCTGCAGCAGCAAATTAATTCTGCTGATGCTGCGCAGCAAAACACTTCTGTCCCGCTGCAGCTGCTGCTGACTGTGGGGCCAGCGGCTCAGCAGCAAATAAGCAAAGACAGCAGGACACAGCAGCCGCCGCGCGGAGCGCTCCGGCACTGCAGCGCGCAGCAGCAAACCCTCCCGCATCCCAAACCCTAAACCCTAAACCCTAAACCCTAAACCCTAAACCCTAGCCCGCAGCCCCGCGCGCGCTCCAGCGCCGCCCGCCACGAGCCGCCGGCGCTCCCCAAAGCAAGCAACCACCCACTCCCGCCGCTCCTCCCAATCGCCAAACCCTAAACCCTAAACCCTAAACCCTAAACCCTAAACCCTAAACCCTCGGAGGAAGCAGGGTCCCCGGCAACCAGCCACAAACGGAGCTCCCCAGGCTCCTCCGAGAGCCGCTCGGCCAGCGACTAGCGACGAAAGAGTCAACAGCCCAATCTAGCGCTGAGGGTTTAGGGTTTAGGGTTTAGGGTTTAGGGTTTAGGGTTTGTGGAAACTCGAAACCAACCCTGCGCTGCAGCGCCTTCAGCACAAATGCGCCTCTAGCTCCACCAGCTTTGAGCAGCTGCTCGCGGCCCAATGAAGCACGCAAACCCTAAACCCTAAACCCTCAGCCCTAAACCCTAAACCCTAAACCCTAAACCCTAAACCCTAGGCCGTGACGAAGGGCCCGGCGGGGGAGACGGCGGCTTCGGGCTGAAAGGGTTTGACGAAGAAGTGCATTTTCCAGAGGCAAGGCCTTTGGGAAGAGCGGGTAGAGGCGCAAACCCTAAACCCTAAACCCTAAACCCTAAACCCTAAACCCTCGCTAGCTGGGGAAATCGACGCGCCGCGCTGCAGACTCGGCGCCCGCGGGAGAAAAGAAGTAAAAACAAATTAAATGAGTTTTATTTTCATTTATTTATTTATTTCTTCTTTTATTTTCGCTTTTCTTTTCTTTTTCTTTCACTTCTGCCGCTGCGCCGGTGCGGGGCCCGCGAGCAGAGCTCGCTGGGGTGTACGTACACCTCAGAAAACCGCAGCAGCCCCGCCCGCCCCCTCGCCGCAAAAACCCAAGGCCAGCTTCAACTTGCAAACCCTAAACCCTAAACCCTAAACCCTAAACCCTAAACCCTAGCTCGCGCCACTGCCCGCCAAGGACCTATCCACGGTACCTCTGGGGCCTCCGGGCAAACCCGGGGGCCCCGGGGGCCCCCCAAAACCCTCAGCAATTTAATTAAGACCCAAAACTCAAATTTATTTCTTATTCTTCACTCAAGGGGCCCCGGGGCCCCCAGCGCTGCTGCAGCACAGCTGCTGCTGCTAGGGGCCCCTCGCCCCGCAGCAAGAGCTCCTCAGGGCCCCCTGGGGCCCCCAGGGGGCCCCCAGGGGGCCCCCAGGGGGCCCCCGGGGGCCTCCCAGAGGCTCCCAGGACCCTCTGGGGGCCCGCGGGGGCCCCAGGGGCCCTTTTAGGGGGGCCCCGGGGGGCCTCCAGGGGGCCCTCGGGGGGCCCCCAGGGGCCCCTCTCTTCTGGTTTGGGGGAAGGGTATTTGTTTTGCTGCTGCGTGACCAGTGGTCAGTCTGGGGCAGCAGCGGCTAGCGCAGCACTTGGAGATTTTCTCCGGAGACTTAAATGGCAAATAAATGGAGAAAAAAAGAAAAAAAGAAAAAGAAAAAGAAGAACTTTAAAAGTTTCAAAAAAGCGGCATTTAATGGACCTAAAATGGCAAAGAAATGGAGCAAAAATGAAAAAACGAAAATCTTTCAAAAGACCCAAAATGCTCTCGCTTGTCTGTACAGCTGACGGAGTGTACGTACAGCTGGCGCTCTTCCAGTGTCGCGAAAATGCAAAAAGGAGTTTCAGTCTTTTTGTCAATTATAAAACATTATTTTATTTGCAAATATAATTTAAAAATAAACAAAATTAAATCTTAAAACAAACAAAATTGAGTCTTTTGTGTTTTTGCAAAAGCGGCTTCGAGTTGCTTCCCACTTCAGGTGTACGTACACCCGAGAGTTCCCCGTTTTTCGAATTTCCGTTTTTGCCAAATTTCATTTTAATTTAATTTCGCACTTTTGTCTCTTTTCCAGTTTTTCAGTTTTGTTTCAAAAGATCTTTTTTTAAACTTTTTCGGATTATTCAAAAAGTTCTTTTCGCAACAAATCCTTCAACTCGGCCTCTCCATTTGAGTCCAATTTGAAAGCTTTTCTCCGCTATTTAGGGTTTAGGGTTTAGGGTTTAGGGTTTAGGGCTTGCGGCTTTAGGCTCTAGGGGTGTGACGTTATGGTTTAGGGTTTAGGGTTTTGGATTAGGGTTTAGGGTTGTAAGGTTCAGAGTTTAGCGTTTACGTGTCAGGGGTTAGGGTTTAGGGTTTAGGGTTTAGGGTTTGGCGGGGAGCCACTGCTCTTGCGCATCTTTGAAAGAACTGCACTTCGCTTTCGATCTCTTAGAGAATTGAATTGCTGCTGCCAAACCCTAAAAAAGGGTTTTCTAAGAAGGGTTTAAAGGTGAGGGCTTGGCAACGAGGGTTTACTAGACAGGGTTTAACAATTAGGGTTTAGCATTTAGGATTTAGTGAGGGTTTGAGAACGAGGGTTTAGGGTTTAACAATGAGGGTTTGGCAGTGAGGGTTTACTGAAGAGCGTTTAAAAACGAGGGTTTAGAAATGGGGATTTAATGAAGAGGGTTTAGAAATTAGGGTTTGGAAATTAGGGTTTGGAAATTAGGGTTTAGAAGTGAGGGTTTAATGGCGAGGGTTTAGCAGAAAGGGTTTACTAGTTGGACCCTAGTTATGAGGGGTTAGGGTT